AGTAGTAGTAGGTAGTGTAGTAGTAGTAGTAGTCGTTAGTCGTAGTAGTAGTAGTAGTCGTAGTAGTAGTAGTAGTAGTAGTATAGTAGTTGTAGTAGTAGACGTCGTAAAAAGCGTAGTAGTAGTAGTTAGTAGTAGTAGTAGTAGTAGTAGTAGTAGTAGTAGTAGTAGTAGTAGTAGTAGTAGTAGTAGTAGTAGTAGTCGTAGTAGTAGTAGTCAGTAGTAGTAGTAGTAGTAGTAGTAGTAGTAGTAGTAGTAGTAGTAGTAGCAGTAGTAGTAGTAGTAGTAGTAGTAGTAGTAGTAGTAGTAGTACGTAGTAGTAGTAGTAGTAGTAGTAGTAGTAGTAGTAGTAGTAGTAGTAGTAGTAGTAGGAAGTAGGAGTAGTCGTAGTCGTAGTCGTAGTCGTAGTAGTAGTAGTAGTAGTAGTAGTAGTAGTAGTAGTAGTAGTAGTAGTAGTAGTAGTAGTAGTAGTAGTAGTAAGTAGTCGTAGTAGTAAGTGTAGTGTAGTCAGTAGTAGTAGTAGTAGTAGTAGTAGTAGTAGTAGTAGTAGTAGTAGTAGTAGTAGTAGTAGTAGTAGTAGTAGTAGTAGTAGTAGTAGTAGTAGTAGTAGTAGTAGTAGTAGTAGTAGTAGTAGTAGTAGTAGTAGTAGTAGTAGTAGTAGTAGTAGTAGTAGTAGTAGTAGTAGTAGTAGTAGTAGTAGTAGTAGTAGTAGTAGTAGTAGTAGTAGTAGTAGTAGTAGTAGTAGTTAGTAGTAGTTAGTAGTAGTAGTAGTAGTAGTAGTAGTAGTAGTAGTAGTAGTAGTAGTAGTAGTAGTAGTAGTAGTAGTAGTAGTAGTAGTAGTAGTGGTAGTAGTAGTAATAGTAGTAGTAGTAGTGTTCACCCCTGGACTATTTCCTGGCGTGTCCCCCGCGAAAATCAGGTGCCAACCGTTAAGGTGCCAGCGGCACTTTCGAAAACCGACGCGCGATACTTCCTCGCACAAGCCACACCAAAGTGGAATCTTTCCCGGCGCCGCGCCGGGAAAAAACCCAGTTTACTGGGAAAGACCCCAGTCCGCCGGGAAAGAGACGAGATGCCTCCAGGGCCCAAGGGTGGACCCCTCCTCCTCCTCCTCCTGCCCCCCTTCTCCTCGTCGCCTTCTTCGTTCTGCTTCTCGTCGTCCTCCTTCTCCTCGTCCTACCCCGTCCTCCCTCCCCCGCCGCTCTTCCCTTCTTCATCCCGCTTCCTACCCCCTCCTCCTTCCTCCCTCCTCCCCCTTCTCTCTTCATCTCCCCTCCGCGCCCCCTCCCTGTTCCACCCTCCTTCTTCCGATTGCCTCCACCTCCATCTTCCTCCGTCCTATCTCGTACTCCCTCATCGTTACCCTCCCCCTTGTCCTCTACCCCCCCTCCCCATCCCCCTTCTCCTCCTCCTCCTCTTCCTTCCCCTCCTCCTCCTCCTCCTCCTCCTTTTCCTCCTCCTCCTCCTCCTCCTCCTCTTCCCTCTCCTCCACCTCCCCCTTGCAAGTGCCCAACACAAACACTACCCCCCTTGTCCAAAGATGTGGTGCGAGCTGGGCCCCACCACTCCCGCATACTTTTGCAGCACAAGGTTTCGCAAGGTGATGCTTCAGATGCTTGCTCCAATTTGAAACGTTTCGGTGTGCTCCCAACCATCCTGTCGTGTCGGGTCCGCGTTTTGAATCAGCAGCGCCTCGCGTCCCATCCCGCCTCCTCCTTCCTCCCGCCTCGTCCTCCTCCCCCTCCTCGTGTCTCACCCCACCATCATTATCGTCATCGTCATCGTCGGTGCGTCATCATCATCATCATCATCATCATCATCATCAGCATCCTCGTCATCACCACATTTAACCATATTTCGGAACAGCCCTCACACGTTTCGTGTTATCACAGGAAGCTCCACCGAATGCCCCAATTGCAACGCTCGCATGTGCCCTCAACTTTCATGTCGGGACACCCCGCACACGCTTCGTGGCACCGAAAGGGGGCTCCACGGAATGCCCCAATCCCACTGGCAACGTTCGCATGCGTCCCCGTCTTTCATTGTGGCACACCCCTGACACGCTTCGTGGCACCACGAGGACCTTTTTTTCCGAAGTTCACGGTAGAAGCGTTCCCATGCGCCCCCGCCTCTCATGTCGGCACACCGTTCAAACGCTTCGTGGCGCCCAAAAAGGGCTCCACGGAATGCCCCGATCCCACGGCAACGTTCGCATGCATCCTCTGGCACACCCCTCGCACGCTTCGTGGCCCCAGAAGGAGCTCCACAGAAGGCCTCCGTGGCGACGTTCATATGCATCCCCTCCGCCCATTGCGTCACACCCCACACGTTTCGTGGCAACATAGGGAGCTCCACGGAATGCCCCCATGCCAACATTCGCATGCGTCCCCGTCTCTCGTTTCGGCACACCCCCCACACGCTTCGTGGCAACGCAAGGATCTCCACCGAAGGCCACAATGACAACATTCGCATGCGTCTCCGCCTCTCATTTCGGTATACTCCTCACACGCTTCGTGGCGCCACAAGGACCTCTTCCGAAGGCCACGCTGGCAACGTTCTCATGCGTCCCCGCCGCTCATATCGGCGCGGACATGCGAACCCAACCGATGTTTTTTTGGCTCAGGTCCGCTAGGACACCCGTCGGCGGATAGCGAAGAATTCAACGCAATGGGAAGGGATGGGTGGGAGGAGTGTCATACTGTCGAGGGAACACGAAATCGAACCAATGCACAAGCCAGGCTCATTTGAGGCCGGAGACCCCATGACCCCCCTCTTCAATGCCGATTGGCGCGGCCAATGGGTAGCGACCTGGTCTCGCCCCGCCGCCGCGCTGAGCAGGGCAAGTTTCGGGCACCGCGAAGGCCACAGGCAGAGACCCCTTGAAGAACCCCCCTCGCCAGTGCTGCCGCGACGCGCCGCCCTCTGCGGGGCTGCTCGACGTCGGAGTGACAGCGTGAGGGCCTGGGCGGGCGGGCGCCCTCCATGCAAGCTCGCTGGGTGGGCCATCCCTCTGCCTGCTCTGCTGCGTTGGCCTATGTCAAGGAGGCGGGAGGGGCAGGGCGAGACCCGAGGGGGTGGGGAGGAGCGCCGAGGAGTGCGATGGAGTGGGGAGGAGTCTGGAGGACTGGTGAGGAGCGCGGAGGGGTGCGATGGAGGGGGGATGAGGGAGGAGCCCCGAGTTGCGGGGAGGAGTGCCGACAAGTGTAGTGTGATGGAGCTGGGAGGGGTCCCGAGGAATGGGGAGGAACGCCTAGGACTTCGATAGAGAACAATAGAGAGGACTCCGGAGGAGCGCGATGAAGTGGGGAGGAGTCCACAGGAGGTGGAGAAGACGATCGATTGGTAATGTGGTTCGATTGTAGTTTCCATGTACGGTATCATATATGACGCGCGCGCCTAGCTTGTCTCCCTCCTATTCCGTCTCCTCCTCCCGCTCCTCCTCCTTCTCCTTCTACTGCTCCTCCTTTCCTACTGCGCCCAGTCTCCTCCTCCTCCTCCTCCTCGCCTTCTCCTCTCGCTCCTACGATATCATTCAATTTCCATTCGCTCTCAACTTACATCTCCAATCAAACCTTACCTTTTTTATCTATCCTGCTCATCTCCATCCGAGAACCTCTGAAAACGTTCCCACACCTCCTCTCCCTCCCCCTCCTCCTGCTCCTCCTCCTCGTCCTCCTCCTCCCCCCCTCCTCCCTTTCCTGCTCCTCCTACTGTTCCTCCTGTCGCCTCCCCTCCACCCCGCCTCTGGACACCTCCAGTAAAGGATATAAAACATCCGAACTCCTCCGATCTTCGTCGAAGAAAGGGTCACGGAAAATACAAGGCATTACCGAGCACCGGTGGAAGTCTCCTCCTCCTCTCCTCCTTCTCCTCCTTCTCCTCCTCCCTTCTTTTCCTCCTCCTTCATTCCGATTCCTTATACATGAATTCTCCCTGTCGCACCCCGAGGCAAGTTTTTAGGGCGGTCTGGGCGTTTCGCCTGTGACTTCCTCATCATGTATGACCCTGAAGCTCAAACGTTGACAACAATTTCACAAATGGAGGGCGGGTCGTTTTCAAAATGTGGCTCTCGCCTTGGCGCCGCGCACATTCGTTCTAGCAATTTGCCAGAGCTTCACGGATTGAGGGCGGGTCGTTTTCAAAATGTGGCTCTCGCCTTAGCGCCGCGCACATTCGGTTTAACGTTTGCAAGAGTTTCACGGATTGAGGGCGGATGGTTTTCAAAATTTGTCTCTCGACTTAGCGCCGCGCACCTTCGTTTGTAACAGTTGCAAAGAGTTTCACACATTGAAGGTGGTGCCTTTCAAAATGTGGCTGTCGCCTTAGCGCCGCGCACATTCTTTTGTAACACTTGCATGCGTTTCACGGATTCCCATGATCAGCGCACCAGAAATGGTTTATTGGAAGGATTGAGGATCAGCAGGGTGCAACAATTGCGTCGATTCGCGGTGTTGATGTTCCAAGAATTGTGTTCCGGTGCGTTTCAAGATCGTCAAGACGCAACAGTCAGGTTGTTTCGTGGCGTTGGAATCCCGACAACCATGTTTTGGCATGTTTCAGGGTCTTCAAACGGATGTCTTCCAACGAGGCAGTTCCCTGTGGAAATGAACCGTTGTAGGGGCCTGCGAAGGGGGAGCCTGGAGGGAGGGTTTATTCCAACATCGTTGATGACTCTTGGATTTTCACTGGTCCTCCTCCTCCTCCTCCCTTTTCCTCCTCCTCCTTCTCCTAGACATTCGCCATGATCACCTATTCGGGGGGAAGAAGCGACAACATGATGACGACAAAAACGACTACGACTGTTGAAACCAGCGCGCCTCACTTCGCGCTTCGCGCTGCGCGAAGCGCGAATAACTTCGCGCTCTCGCGCTGCCCCCCAAAGGTGAGGAGGCTGAGAAGCAACCGGAGCCGACCCGCGAAGCGCGAGGGCGCACATATAGACATTTTGGAACGACGGCGACAAGCACGGCGGCGGCAAAAACGACGAGGACGGCCAGAGCCTGCCGAGCCAGGCGGAAGGCGCTCTCGACGATCACCTCTCGCGGCTCCGCTCCGCTCCAGGCGGCCCCGCCCCCCTCGGGGGAGGGGGGAGGCGGACGGATCGATACGACAAGTTCACGTCGTAAGAGCGCGGGCGCTGGCTTGTGACACCGCGCCGATCGTTCAACCTTCGGGCGCCGATTAAGTGGGGGGAAGACATGTAGACTTCTCGGGCCCTCAAGGCCCCCTTTGCTGGGTAGTCGAAGCCAATCTGGCGCCAATCTGGCAGGCCCAATCTGGCAAACGGGGGCAATCTGGCGAGGGAGCCAACGCGAATCCAGTCTGGCGAACAACCCAAATCCTCCAACATGGCCAGGCCAGATTGGCCCTTGGGGCCAAATCCAGTCTGACAGTCTGGCCTTCGACTACCCAGCTTTGGGAAGGGGCCCTATAAGGGCCCCTTTTCTGCAGCCCTCGCTGCCCTCCCGTCCATCGCCCCCCCCCCCTCTGACGTACGCTGACGCCCAACACCTGGAGCGACCGCGGCCTTCCGAGAGCGCTGGTCGTTCGAGGTCGGCCGACTCCGGACCACACGCGCACCTCAGCCTCGAACCCTGGCGGGAGGGCCACCGCCGCGTCCACATGGCGCGAACCTGCCGTACGAAGTTTTGCTCTCGGCCCTCGGGGATCGAAGCGGGAGGCTTCAATCCGCCCTCTTCTCCTCCTCCTCCTCCTCCTCCTCCTCCTCCTCCTCCTCCTCCTCCTCCTCCTCCTCCCCCTCCCCCTCCCCCCTCCCCCTCCGCCTCCCCCTCCCCCCTCTTCCTCCTCCTCCGCCTCTTCTTCCTCCTCCTTCGTTTTCTGCATATCTGAATTGTTTCCAGCTTCTGGTCCTTTTTGGGTCTCTGGAGGCCTCCGAGGGTCTCCAGGGACGTACGGGGGTCAGGATAGGGCGTGGCAGCGCAGCCTGCCAAGAATCGAGGGCCGATGCTTCTGGGCGGCTTGCGTCCTCTTGTCCTCCCCTCCCGCCTCCCTCCTCCCTCGTGCTCTTGCCCCCCGCTTCTCTTGCTTCTGGCCTCCTCCACCTGCCCCCCTTGTCCGCGTACCTCCTCCTCCTCCCGCTTTCATCCTCCGTCATGCCTCCTCCTCCTCCCTCGCGCTCCTCCTCCTCCTCCTCCTCCTCCTCCTCCTCCATCTCCTCCTCCTCCTGCTGCTGCTGCTGCTGCTGCTGCTGCTGCTGCTGCGCTCGCGCCACACGTCCTCCTCCTCCTCCTCCTCCTTCTCCTCCTCCTCTTTCTCCCTCTCTGCGGCAGGGAGAGGAGGCATCACTTTCATTTTCTCTGTTTGTAACAATGTCTTCGGCCCTTCGGCGGGACCTCCAGGGGGGGGGAAACGTAAGATAGGAAACGACTGTGGGCCCTCTCATCTCGTCTTGCCACGTGGACGTATAAACGAATTCCCGCCTCGGAAGGGCCGCCTCTGGCGGCGCCCGAGTGGTGCCCTCGCGCCCGCTGGTCCGACGGGGGCGCGGCGATCCACGAGTGCTGCGCTGCGCTCTGTGAGAAGTGCCCCGCTGGCGACACAAACTGACAGCCGCAACCCCCGACGTCGGCACCTGCGGGAATCCATGGCAGGCGAGGTGGCTGGGACCGGGGGGGCTGCGGGTGAGATTTTGGCGGCCTTCGAGGCTGGCGCTCCCGCGTGGCCCGCTCCCCCAAACATTTTGCCCCCAATCGCGGCACCCATTCGGCACGTCCGCCTCGCCCCCGCGGTGGTCCGGGAGCGGGGGGGGGGGCGTGTCGGGCTGCGACCCACGGCCGCTCCCCGAGAGTGGCCTCCAGAGGCTGCTCCAGCGGCGCGGGGGCAACTCCGAAGGAGGCCTCTGGTCTCCGCTGTCCCATCCGGCATGGGCATCCGCTGGCCGCCAAGTCTGCGTCCTCCTTCCTCCTTCCTCCCTCCTCTTCCTCCTGCTGCTCAACGGTGTGCTGCGTACCTGCCCTCGCAAGGCGGGCCCTTTCCACAATCCGTGCTTCGGTGCGGATCGTAAGCGCGCCTCGTCTCCGCCGTCGTCGTCGTCGTCGTCGTCGTCGTCGTCGTCGTCGTCGTCGTCGTCGTCGTGGTTCAATGACTTTGCGGAAGCTCGTCCGAGCGGGGACTCTTCCCGGTGTATGGCGCAGCACGACGCATAGTCACATGGGGGAGCTCGGGCTGCACGTCGTCAATCAGCGCCTGGCGGATCGCCCCTCCTCCTGCGCCTCCCCCTCGACGTCGGTGTCGTCGTCGTCGTCGTCGTCGTCGTCGTCGTCGTCGTCGTCGTCGTCGTTGCGTTCCTCCTCCTCCGCCTCCTTTCAGCGCTCCTTCTCCTCTTCCTCCTCTTCGCCATCGTCGCTTTCCTTGTCCTCCTCCTCGTCCTGGTGGGTCGCCTCCTCAACCCCTCTTCCTCTAACTCCTCTTCCCCCCCCTCCCCCTCATCCTTCTCAGAGGAGCCGGTGTTGCATACTTATCAACGCTTCTGGCTCTTTTTGGGCCTCCAGTGGCGCACTGGTCACCACGGCAAGGATTCGCCTCGAGACTCTGGCCCGAATGACCCCCCCCCAGGAGAGTTCAGAGGGATGGCTCTTGAGGTCCTCCTCCTCCTCCTCCTCGCTCGATTGGGCAGGAAGCTTTAGGAAAATAAGCGCAAACCAAGGGAAACCAGAGCACAGAGATCACGCAATGGATTCGTGCAAGGGACATGGCAACAGCAACAACAGGGGCGGCGATACGGATCGGCCGCCGTGAGTGTTCACGCCATCCTCCGCCCCGAGGGGCTCGAGGAGCGGGTGGGGTGCCCTCATAGGGGCGCCTCCGCCTCCTCCTCCGCTCGGGCACCAGCAGCGGGAAGTGGTGGCAAGCCGCCACCAAGCACGCTACCGCAGCGGGGCCCCGCGGAGCGCATGCGGAACAACAGGAGTGCGCCCTCGCTGCAGAAGGCCCTCGACAGCTTCACACGGTTACGATGGGGGCAGCGATGGGCGGCCACGATGGGGAGATCGGGACAGGGACAGGGCTAGGGACATGGGGATGGGAATCGGGATGGGGATGTGGATGCAGGGGGGGGTGCGGATGAGGACGGCCACGGGAGGCCACGGGAGGCAACGAGAGGCCACGGAAAGGCAACGGGAGACAATGGGCAACGTCGCCCGACCACTTCTGGACCTGGCAACGCACCCACCGGTTTAAATATAGCCTTTGCAGGCAAGCTGTGTGGGGCACAGAGTAGATAGCAGAAACACCACCCTCATCATAAACACCCCGACAAGCGAACCACCCTCATCATAAACACGCCGACAAGCGAAGCCGCGCAGTAGCACCCAGGGAAGGAATCGAACATGGCAGGGCTGGTCAGCAAACGCCTAGGGCCGTTCAGTAAACGCCAATTCTGGGGGTCGGGGTGGTTTTACTTCCCTGGACAAGAATAATGCACTAACGGAATAAACGCAATCTTTCGGAGGCCCGAGCGGATTTCGTGGGTCTGCGCTGGACCCCCATCCCGGGAGCGCGAAGCGCGCCAGGGGTGGCGCTGAAGGCGCTGCCAAGGGGGCCCCAAAGCAGATCCAAGAAATCCGCGCGGAGCCCAGAAACATCATGCTGATGCAGTTCTTCTGTTCTGAACAAAGGGAAAACCATGTTTACAGGATTAGAAGCCTCCAAAGTGGGGCCCGAGTAGATGGGCCCGGAGGATTGCACCGCATCGCCGATGTATCGGCGATGCATCGGCGATGTCGGCCATGCATCGGCGCCGTCGGCGTTCAGAAATTCGGGCTCCACATCGAGCCCCATCGCCGATGTATCGGCGATGCGGCGCGATTCTCCGACCCCATCTACTCCGACCACATCTGGGAGGCATAGCTTCTGGGCCGGACATCGTGAGAGCTGGAAGACTCCCCGCCCCTCCATTCCCTCGAAATCGAAAGAAATCTCCCCCCTTCCCCTCGAGAGCGTAGGAGCTTCAGTTTTGAAGCCTCCCCCCTCTCCTCGAGGTCAAGGGAACTGGAAACCATCTAGGAGGCCTCGTGAAAACCACGGCAAAAGGATCGCCGCCCCCAGGGCTCGAATCCTGCTGGGCAGGGGCGGGCGAGAACATCGGGCTCCACATCGAGCCCCATCGCCAATGCATCGGCGATGCGGCGCGATCCTCCGACCCCATCTCGGGGGTTGCTAAAGGTGCCCCTGGCCCAAGGTGTGCTCCCACTTTCCCAACTTTTCGCCCAATTCTGGAGCCCCTGGGGCTTTCTGGACCTCGTGAGGGGTGCTCTGGAGGCCGTGGGGGTCTCCATGTGAATCCTGGGGGCACCTTGGAACTGGGGCACTTCTATAGGGGGGAAACAAATCTACCTCGCTTTTGACCACCCTCGCTTCCAAGAGATACCAAACGATGCCAAAAATTGCAGCCTGTACTGGTCAGGCCGCTTGACGAGGAGGCGCATGGTATGGCTTGGTTTTGCCTGGAAGCGAAAGCGGGGTAGGTAATTCACGCTCTGATTCTAGCAACACCCGACCATCTGGGCAAGGCACGGCAAGGCGCCAATGTTCGCCCTGAGGGGGGGGGGGGGGCGACACTCTAGGACCTCGGCGGGGGCGCCGGAACGCTGTCGTAGTACACGATTGCTTCAGAATCCGGAACTCGAATCGGTGACTCCATCGAACCAATCTCTCCCATCAGCTTGATGCATCAGCTTGATGCACTCGGGGCTGATCAGGGAGGGCACGCGAGAGGACGCAAGACCCAGCCGAGGGTTATGTTGCTCCCGTCGTACTTAAGGACCACATCCCAGAAATAATTTCGAGCGCCCGGAAAAATGTCGAAGGAGTGTTGAAATAATGTCGAAAGAGTGTCTCCCATGGCCCGGCACGTGAAAAAACCTTGAGTTTCGGTACTTTTTGGGCGCTCGAACTTCTTCCTGGTGAGCAGAGCAAAAGTAGGTTGGAACATCATAAGCCGAGGGCAACACTGCAAAGGAGGGGCGCCTCTGCCTCCTCTGCCTCTGCATCCGGAACTCTACTCGGTGACTCCACCGAGCCAATCTCTCCCATCAGCTCGAGGCAGCCGGGGCTGATCAGAGAGGGCACGCGAGAGGACGCAAGACCCTGCCGAGGGCAACACCGCAAAGGAGTTCTTGAGCTCCACGCTCTGTCCGCCACGTTTAGCGAGGCACCCCACGGCGGGGGGAGGGCGTCAGCAAACAGTGCAAAGGAGGGGCACCTCTGCCTCACAAGAAGCCTCGCGAAGCCCACGTCGAGAGGTTCGCCGCCCCCCCGGGGGCTCGCGCCCTGGCCCGGGCAGGGGCGGGCGGCGCCCCCGGGAGGGGCACGGCGCAGCACGCAGAGGCCACCGGCGCGCCGCCGCCGAGGCCCCGGGGGGCCGCACGGCCAGCAGACAGGCCTCCTGCTTCTCGCCATCGTGGTCTCCCTCCTCCTCTCTCCTCCTCCTCCTCCGTGTCCTCCTCAGACCCCTCGTCCTCAATCCCCTCTTCCTCCAACTCCAACTCCTCCTCCTCCTCCTCCTGCTCCTCCCTTTCTTCCTCAAACCCCTCTTCCTCCTCCTCAGACCTCCTCCTCCTCCTCCTTCTCCTCCTCCTCTTCCTCCTCCTCCTCCTCCTCCTCTAGCCCCTCTTCCTCGAACTCCTCCTCCTCCCCCTTTTTCTCCTCCTCAGAGAGGAGCCAGTACTGCAAGTCGACGCTCTTGGCTCTTTTTGGGCCTTCAGTGGCGCCCTGGTCATCACGGCAAGGATCCGCCCCGAGACTCTGGCCCGAATGCCCCCCCCCGCCTCATCACCCCTCCCCCTCCTCCTCTTCCTCCTCCTCCTCCTCTTCCTCCTCCTCCTCCTCCTCCTCCTCTTTCCTCTTTCTCCTCTTCCTCCTCCTCCTCATCCTCCTTCTGCTTCCTCATCGTTCCTCCTTCCTTCTTCCTCCTTTCTCCTTCCTTCCTTCCTTCCTTCCTTCCTTCCTTCCCTCCCTCCTCCTCCTCTCTCCTCTATCATCTCTCCTCGTCGTCGTCCTCGTCGTCGTCCTTCTCCCCTCCTCCTCCTCCTCCTCCTGCTCCTGCTCCTCCTCCTGCCCCCGGGCGAGGAAGAACGGCCTTCTGCGGCCGCCCGCGACTCTCCGGGGCGCTTTTGCTGAGATTCCGAGGCGGACCTGGCGCTTTGGCGACGAGAAGCCTCCCAGAGGCCCACAGAAAGCGAAAAGCGTTCTCGAACTTCGACCCTCTCGAATCCTGGTCCTCCTCCTCCTCCTCCTCCTCCTCCTCCTGCTCCTCCTCCGCGAACTCTCAAGCCCTAGATCCTCTTCCTAGGGGGGGACGCAAATATGGGGTAAGGGCCGAGGTGGAGTTACAAGAAAACCGCTCTAAACGGCTCCCGGCATACGAGAATCTGAGCTTCGAGCGGGTCTCGTTGCCTAACCCCATCTTGGGATAACCCCCCTCTAAAACCTCCGACTTTCCGAACTTCGAAGACCTCCCAGGGCTCGGTCTTCGAGCCTCGGTTCCTCTCTGAGGGGGAACGTTAGGGTGTGACTGGCTCAAGGGGGGGGAACCATCGACCTGGAATCGGCGATACATCGTCGACAGATCGGCGATGGCGAACCCGCATGGTCCTGGGCCGGGTGGGCTATGGGGCCCCTACCGGCGATGCGTGGGCGATTGGGGGTCGATGCGTCCCCCACTGAGCCCATGCCCTACTCACCTCGCCATCGCTCGGCCGTCCATGCCCCGTGCCTCTGACGACTTCGCGCGTGTATTTCCCGTGTGAGGATCCAATCTGCTCCTCGCTGGCCCTCGCCGAGAAAAGGTGCGCACGTCCGACCGATGCCAAGTTGCGCTGTCCCGGGCCCTTCCTCCTCTCGCGGGCGCGGGGGGCCGAAGGGCTCCACCCCCCGAGCGCCTGGTGGACCACGATCCACGGGCGGATCACCTGGCGCACGGGGAAGGAGTGCCCCCCCCCCCCCAAACGGGGGACAGAAGCAGAGGGTGGGAAGGGGAAGCCGTGCCGCGTAGGCCTGGCACGGATAATGAGAAGGAGGGGGAGGAGGGGGAAGTGGAGGAGGAGGAGGAGGGGGAGGAGGAAGCAGGAAGCAGGAACCAGGAATGATGATGCTGCTGATGATGATGAGGAGGAAGATGAGGAGGGGGAGGAGGAGGGAGGAGGAGGAGGATGAGGAGGAAGGATTCAGACGAGGAGGAGGAGGAGGAAAGAGGAAGATGGATGAGGAGAGGCCTCGAGACAAAGAGCCCCGGATGGGTTGTCCCGGAAGAATCCGTGGAGCCCCCTGGGGCTATCTTGGCTTGAGGTTCGGAGCCTCTTGGACCGTCTTGACCGAATCGGCGAGGATGCCAAGAACATTCGAAAACCAGCGGGCAATCTATGTCTTGTACTTCTCGCGGCCCTCTGGGAGAGCCGCGAGGCGTCGTGGCGGCCCCTGAGACTGTCGGTCATGCAAGAACTTCAGGAGCATCGGTGGTCTGTGCCTCTCGGGTAGCGCATCGAGGCGTCTTGGAGGCCCCTGCTATGGTCTTGAAGCCACTGATGGCCCGCCCACTGCGGCGGACACCAGTGGACAAACGTATCAGAAGAATATGTGTATTTCTATTTCCAGCTTTCGACGAACGTGGCCCCGAACATCGAACTTAGAGAATCTATTTTCCTGCGATCTTCCCTGGTTATGGATGCGGCGCGGCAGTCAACCGTCGGGCCACGGGCATTGACCCCTGCGGAAAAGGCGACTGCAAATGGTGCCTATACAAAGAACACCACTCTATGATGGATCACACCTCTCCCAATCAGAAGCCCAGATATTGTCAGGAAGCGCGCGCGCGCCCTGTGATCGCGCACACACCCAGCGGCCTCAGAAGACAGCCACCAAGCACACAAAACAATATCTGACCCCCCCGTCGAACGGTCACGTGGCGATCGAAGTCGGCGGACAGATGGCGACTGCCCTTTGGCCATGAGAGAGTATCGGACTTCCCGTAGAAAGGGTCTTTGTCTTGGGCATGCGCCAGGCGCAACAGCTTGCGCCGCGCTGGTCATGACACAATGGTTTGCACGGCGTCGTTGTGCACGTGATCGGTCACGCAATTTTCTGACTGTCTGCTTGGCCGCCGGGGGAAACGGGAGAAGCAGGGAGGATTGGACTTCGCGCTTCCCAAGCGCAAGTAAGGCGTATGGCAAGTACGCAGCACGCAGCGAGACGCAACGAACATGTCACGAACGTCGGTCTGCAAGGCCATGCCTGTAGCAAGTGCACGACAGGCTGTAACGTGCAGCAACATCTTGACGACATTCAATGTGATCTTGGGGTTGGCCTTGCAAAACGTCTTTTGCCGCCTTTTCTTCGGGGCAACCTTCCCGCCCGCGGCTATTTTCGTACCCCTGTCAACTTCCGGAAACATCCGATCACTGGGCGGGCGAGCGACCCGCGAGTCGCAGAAGATGGCAACAACGCTCGAGGGGGTAACAGCTATGGAGGAGCACGTGGGCGCCCGCAGCCTTGCAACCCAAGGCGGGTCAAGCAATGCTTCACGCCCGCCGAATTCTGATTACAATGGTTTACTTCCTTCGCCTGTGGTTCGAATGGTAGACTTCCGCCTTGTATTGATTCCAATGGTTTACTTGCTAGTCTGTTTGCCGCTTTGGCTCCAATACTTGACTTCCGCGGCATGCTGTTTTCAACGGTTTCCTTGTTCCGTATTTTGGCGCCAATGGCTTCTGCCAGGCTGGGGCCTCATGCCCGACTGGGGCTGGACCAAGACGAGAAGGCACCCAGATGGTCCAGGTTGGTTTCGAGGGGGCTTCCGACGGCGTCAGACGGGCCAGGAACGCCCGAAGACTGCCAAAGAGGCCTCCAAGAGGGCCCTAAAGAGGCCACGGTGTGGGGACACACATAATCTGACAGCTTGTCGAAGCTTTGGCCACAACGTTCGGCCACATCGGCGCTGGCAAAAGGCAGGGGGCCGCAGTGATCCGCCGTAGGCGTCTTCGACCAGACCCCCCCCTCTGTCTATCACAAGGGCGCACGGCGTGCTGATTTGTTTTGCTGTTTTAAATCCGTCAGCCCCCTTGTGGGGCCACCATGCTCCGAGGGTTAGGCTTGCTGCTCCCTGCGCCAGCTCCAGTTTCCAATCTCCAATGTTATAGTCCTGCTTTCTGCTTCCTACTGTGAATTGTTGACGTCCGCGCCAGCGGGGGGAGCAGAAAATGGCCCTGGTTATCACCACGTGGGGAGCTTCTCAGAATTTCTGGGGGGTCCTGGGACAAGCACAAATCCGCCGACCTTGTCGGCGTGTGTGGGGTGTCTGTGCGGTCCCGTCGACGGGGAGCCTTCTTTCGCCCCCTCCTGCCCATCCTCGTGTCTTGTCGGGGAAGAGAGAGAGAGAGAGAGAGAGAGAGAGAGCACCCTTCCTCGTTCGGGGAACGGGTTCGCAGCTTGAGGGAATTCCATCCACGTCCTCATACGTCACAGGGAAGCCCCTTCCCTTTGTCCCTTCCCCAGCGGGGGGGTGTTCTGGGGGGGGTCAGATTCGCATCGCCTCTGGGGGTCCTCCTCTCAAACGCCAGTCCTTCTCCGGCGCGCCGGTCCTCCTCGGGTCCTCCTCCCCAGGTGAGGAGGAGTCCCACGGGGGTGTGTGGAGTCAGATAGGCATCCGTCCCTGGGGGTCCTCCTCCTCCTCCTCCCCTTCCCTCTCCCATGCCGGTCCTCCTCCGGTTCTACTTCCCAAGGGGGGGCCCAGGGGGGAGTCCATTTCCTCCTCCTTCTCCTCCTCCTCCCCCTCCTCCTCCTTATCTCCTCCTCCTCCTCCTCCTCCTCCTCCTCCTCCTCCTCCTCCTCCTCCTTCTCCTCCTCCTCCCCCTTCTGGTCGTCACCGATGTCTTTCAGGGTCAGCGGCACTAGCCGTCAGGCCTTCACAATATATTTGCGATTCGGGGCCCTGAGGCCATAATCCCGCGTCAATTGCACAATATTCGCGTCCCCGAAATCACAATCGCTCGCAATATACGCTGTTCACGCGCTCCCGAGACCATAGTTCTTGCAAGTGATGCAATCGTCGAATCTCCGAGGCAATACTTTTTCGTAAGTTACACAATAGTTTCGTCCCCGAAGCCACGATCACTCGAAAATTACATGTACTTTGCGTCCTCGAATTCATAAATCCAGGTAAAATATACAATATTAGCGCTTTCGATGCCAGAATTCTTCAAAATAAGGTCCCCAGAGGCCCCCAAGACGAAGATGGTTCCAAGACTGCCCAAGAGGCTCCCAGGAGGCTCCCAAAAGGCCCCCAAGAGGGCTCCAAGAGCACCTTCAAGAGGGGTCCAAGACGCCAACATCTGCGATTTGCTTGCGTTTTTGATGGATTTTGGCACGCTCGCCTTTTTGGGATTCCGACGCTCCAAGACGGCCCAAGAAGCCCTCCAAGAGCGCCCCAAGACGGTCCACGAGGCTCTCAAGAGCCCTTTAAGACAGTTCAAGAGGACCCCAAGACGGCTCAAGATACCTAAGACGGCTCAAGACGGCCCCAAGAATGACCCGAGACGGGGGACCCGAACCCAAGTGGCCCCCGTTCGGAGTTCCGATGCTGCTTCACGACGGCGCCCAGGCCTCACAGCGTAGCTCTTGCATATCCCATTATCCGAGAGAGGGGGTCGGCGACAGGGGGCGAAACCCTGACGGATATCTTCTTCAAACATTCGCAACGACCGTCGTTTTGACCCGCCAGGCACACTGAAAGACCCCGGCGACCCCCATCCCTTCGGGCCCTAAACAACCATTTCGCCAGAAACGTCCTCACACAATGAAGACGATGGCCTCCAAAACGGTCAATATGGTATTCAAGACGGCATTAAGACGCCTCCAAAGCGGCCGAGATTTCCCCAAGACGGCCCCAAAAGCCCTGCAGACGGTTCTAGAAGCAGCCCAAGACAGACGCCCCCAAAGTGCTCAAAGAGGACCTCCAGGAGGCCAAAATCATTGATTTCCAAATGGTTCTGCATTGATTTTAGCGTTCTCGCTTCTTAGGGCTTCTTACGATTCAAGACGGCTCCATGTGCCCCCCAAATCGCCCCAAGATGGCCCAAGAGGCCCCCAAGAAGCCCGCATGACTGTCCAAGGGGGCACCATTACAGCCCACGAAGCCCCCAAGACGGTCCCACAGACCTGCAAGACGAGTGACCCACGACTGCCCGGAGACCCCAGACGGCCTCCAAAGGCCAAGAGGTCCCTTAGATTCCCTTAGAGGCCCCCAAGAAGCCCCTTAGAGGCAAGAAGCTCTCAGGAAGCCCTCAGAAGCTCCAAGACGGCCTCAACAAGTTTCCTGTTTCTTTTCCTCTCCTCTTCCTCTCATTCTCTTCCGATTGTTCACCCAAACGGGTTCCACAACGGCTGGGGTGAGCACATCGTCCAAAAGCTTGGCCAGACTGTGGTCCAATGTATGGCTGCATGGGCGCTTCCAAAACTCGGGGGGGGATGGGGCGGCGGTTCGCCGTAGGTGTCTTCGATAATCGTGAGATAACGATGGCGAGCCCGTCGGGACAGTGGAGGCCTCCCAGATGGGGTCGGAATAGATGGGGTCGGAGGATCGCGCCGCATCGCCGATATATCGGCGATGTATCGGCGATGCACCGGCGACGCAACGTCGACATCGGCGGTGCATCGGCGACGTCGACGTGGAGCAAGTCGGGTTCCACGTCGAGCCGCATCGCGGATGCATCGGCGATACGGCGCGATCCTCTGACCCCATCTACTCCGACCCATCTAGGAGGCCTAGAAGCAAAAGGCATGCTAGGGGCTTCCGGGACCGGCCGGCCCGCGCGCGTCAACCCAAATTGACGCGGCGCGCCTTCGCTTCGCTGTCCTCGCTGTCCTCCCCTCAAGGTGGAGACGGTCAACAAGAGGACGAGTAGGAGCCTGAGCCCGTTGGAGCAAAAAGGCCCCTGAGGAGCTGGCGGGGCCAGGTGGCCCGCGCACGTCAATCCGAACTGACGCGTCGCGCCTTGCGTTGCTTGCCATCCTCACTGTCGCGCACGCCTGCCCCTAGTCGCAAACTGAAGGGGGGAACCTGCGAAGTCTGGGCCGCGATGGTAGGGCCTAAACACTGTAATCTGCGGCATCTGACCTCAAGCGACATACGGAATACAGGCGGCTCGGGGGCAGGCGCGGAGACGGCCTCGCCACCGTCCATATCGAGGAAGGAGGAAGGAAGGGAGAAAGCGGACAAAAAGGAACGTTGTTGTTGATGATGATGATGATGATGATGATGATGATGATGATGATGATGATGATGGTGATGGTGATGGTGATGATGATGATGACGCTGATGGTGATGAGGATGAATATGAATCTGAGTATGATGATGCTGCTGCCGCTGATGATGATGATGCTGATGCTGATGCTGATGCTGTTGCTGATGATGCTGATGCTGATGGTGATGATAACGGCAACGCTGATGATGAGGATGAGGCGGGCGAAGGGCAACCGTAATCGCCCTACTCGCAACGAGGGCGCAACCAAAAGAATGCTCGAACCTCGACGCTCGACCCTCGAACCAACTCCGCTCACCACGGGCCCCCCAAACCCGTATCCACGGTTCCGTCCTGGCCCCGTTTTTTGAGCAGGCGTGCAGCCGCGACAGCGAGAGAGGTCCCCCGAGGCCGACAGGGCCTAAGACGCAACGCAGCCTCGCCCTCTAGCCTCGGCCCTCGGGCCTCGGTCCTCGAGCCTCGAGCCTCGAGCCTCGAGCCTCGAACCTCGGCCCTGCACCCTCGACGCCGACGACGACCAATAACACGGCTGCGGCGGCGGCGCCGCAGCTGGCGTCGGCGGCGTCCCCGTCGTCGCCGTCCGTCGGTCGTCGGTCGTCGGTCGTCGGTCGTCGGTCATCGGTCGTCGTCATCGTCGTCGTCGTCGTCGTCATCGTCGTCGTCGTCGTCGTCGGTCGCCGGCCCTCGCCGTCGCCGTCGGCGGCCGCCTCGAGACGGCCCAGCATCAGCTCCGCCTCCTCCGCGAGCCTCGCGCCCCCGGCGGCGCCGCTCGCCTCTCGCACGCACGCCTACCGGGGGAGGGGGGCGCACGCCGCTGCCGACGAGGACGACGTCGACGCCGCCGCCGACGCCTACGAAGACGACGCCCACGCCGAGGCCGACGACGACGCCGCCGCCGACGACGCTGCCGACCTGCCGCCGCCGACGACGACGGCGACGACATCGGCACCGACGGCGTCGGCGGCGGCGCTGGTCCTGCCCTCGGCGGCGCTGGCGGGGAGGATGTTTTGGGGATGGAGGGAGGAGCAAAACGGACGAGGAAGAGGATGAGGATGATGATAAGGAGGAGGAGAAGGAGGAGGAGGAGAAGGGAGAGGAGGAGGGAGAGGAGGAGGGATGGATAGGGGCGGGATGGAGGAGGTTCGGTGGAGGGAGGGGTTAGATGATGATGCTGCTGATGATGATGATGATGCTGATGTTGTTGCTGATGATGAGGATGATGATGATGCTGATGTTGTTGCTGATGATGATGCTGATTATGGTGAGGATGATGCTGCTGCTGGTGATGGTGGTGATGATTATCATGATGACTATGATGATGATAATGATGATGATGGTGATGATGAGGAGGAGAAGGAGAAGTGATGGAGGAGGAGGAGGAGGAGGAGAAAAAGCAGAGAGAGAGAGAGACAGGAAGGAGGAAGGGGGAAGGAGGGAGAAAGGGGGAGGGAGAAATGAGAAGGAGGAGGAGGAGGAGGAGGAGGACGAAAAGGAGGAGGAGGAGGAGGAGGAGGAGGAAAGGAAGGAGGAAGAGAAGGAAGAAGAGAAGGAGGAGAGGGATGAGGAGGAGGATGAGGAGGAGGGACGGAGGAGGAGGAGGAGAAGGCGGAGGAGGAAGAGGCGTAAGAAGAGGAGGAAGAAGATGAGAGGAGGTCCTTCCTCCGGGCGGGTGCCCGCCGTCCTCCCGCACCGATTTCCCGGCCCCGCCCCCCCCCCCCCCTCAGGCAGAACGGCAGCGGCCCCCACCGCAACGCCGCTCTGCGGCCATGGGCACTCTGGCGCTCCTCGCCTGCCCCTGGGGAGGGGGGCTGCCACGGCCCTCCTCCTCCTCGCCCTCCTCCTCCTCCTCGCCCTCCTCGTCCTCGCCCTCCTCCTCCTCCTCCTCCTCCTCGCCCTCCCCTCCTCGCCCTGCCACGGCCCTCCTCCTCCTCGCCCCCAGCGCCCCCCACGGGGCATCGGTGGGCGCCATCTGTTCGCGTGCGCCGAGGCCTGGTCGGGCTGGCGCCTGGGCCCCGGGTCCGTGCGTCTGGATGGTGGGCGTCCTTGTGGCCACGGAGAGTATGAGGAGGAGGAGGAGGAGGAGGAGGAGGAGGAGGAGGCGGAGGAGGAGGAGGAGGAGGAGGAGGAGGAGGAGGAGGAGGATGAGGAGGAGGAGGAGGAGGGGGAGGAGGGGCAGAACTGGGGGGGAGAGGGGGAAGAACGAGCAGGCCGACGGGCACGAGGAGGGGGACGAGGAGGGAGGAGGGACGAGGAGGGAAGTGGAGGGAGGAGAGGGATGATGACGAGGGGGTCGGAGGAGGAAGGACGGTGAGGGGGAGGATGGGGAGAGAGAAACTGGATGACGATGAGGATCATGAACATCTATATGATGAGGAAGTGAGGAAGGGGAGGGAGAGAGGGAGGAGGAGGAGGAGGAGGAGGATGAGGAAGAGGAGCAAGAAGAGGAGGAGGAGGAGGAGGAGGAGGAACAAGATGATCCGCTCGCCTCCCTCCCGTTATGGAGGCTGTCAGACTGCTAGAGTCAGGTTTCATCATCTCAGAAGCCTAGTGTTCATCAGTGTGATGCTGCAGTTCGCAACGTTGAAATTCCCTTGGGAGCTCAACAATTTGGCAATCGAGATCTTCGAGTCTCCACTTCTCGAAGCACAGCCTGATCGGTTCTCACGAGCCGGTATTTCAGATCCTAAGAAAACGCGCGAGATTCCACTCGTTCCGAAACCGATCGTTCCGCCATGACCCATGCCAGCCAGAGATCGTGCAGCAACCACCTCGAGAAACACGGGGCCCAGTGGGCCTTGTCACGCCAATCTCGCGCCACTCCACTTCACTCTGTGATATGACTTGGGTCCGCTTGGTACCAACATCTGCCAGTGAAGCCACATTCCATTCACCCTGCACGCACCTCTTACTCTTATCCTAGGTCTCGGCGTAGAACATATCCCGTCCTCCACAATCAAGTCAACGACGCCCCACATCGTAGCGCCAACACTCACACGCCATATCATCACTCTCGGCCGCAGCCTCTGCCACACCTGGATGCGGAGTCACGGCATGGACATCCCGATTCCATGAGAACGCATGGAAGCTGGCAATGCAGAGTGACCAACAGCAGGAAAGTGATGACTCCCCTGAAACGCCTGCTGGCGTGGCTTCTTGTGCGGACACTCCCTGTACGCTATTCCGCGGCGCGCCACACCACCGCCTGCCCAAGGACCTACAACGCTCTGCAACGAATCAACACCACGTGGGTCGCAATCACGACTGCCGACATCCTCTCGATTTTCCTGTGCCCATCCGGATGTCGATGCCTTCGACCAGCTGGCCGAGTCCAGGGCGGAAAACACGAACAATTGAGATGTCGGGATGCATCCATGTCTGCTCATGCGCGGCAGAAGCGGCAACCAACCTGCAGCCCGCGCGGAGCTGCGCCCGCAGGTACGGTGAGGGCATTGGATCAGGAACCATTGGATCAAGAATCCAGGGTCTGGAAACTGGTGGAACTCCACTCGTGTATCGGCCATGGAAATCACCGCCGCCCTCATCTGATAAGGAATGGTCTTGGGTCTGAAGGCTGCTGGGCACATTCCTTAACGAACGCCCCCACCGTAATCGATGCGGGAGAGGGCCGCTATGCAACCGCCGATGGGGCCCGAGGGGAGGGAGGTAAGCCAAGAGGGGGGTGCGCACGCGCCGTCCAATCCTCAACTTGACAAGGGCCAGGAGGAGGAGGAGGAGGAGGAGGAAGAATCGGAGGAGGACAAGGGGGGAGGATGACGATGAGGAGGACGACGATGACGATGACGATGACGATGAGGATGATGATGAGGACGATGATGAGGAGGGGGACCAATGTAAACCCAAGACGTGTCAACCAATATATCCTTCCTCCAAATTCCCACTTCATGCTTTTTTATAAGAAATGCCCCGTTGGAAAGCAACCGTGTGAGAATCCCCAGTCGTGCCGAAACTCAGTTCCTGAGACTTAAACGCCGCGAATCAACGTGAATGTTGCGTCCTAACTGTCCTAAGTCGTGCCAGAACACCATTACTGGGACTTGAACACCGCGAATCAACGTGACTGTTGCGTCCCGACCACTCTAAATCGCGACAGGACACCATTACTGGTTATTGAAAATGTTGCAAACTTTTGAAAAGAATAACGCGGCGCAAATGCGAGAGCCACATTTTGAAAACGGGCCGCCCTCCATGGTTGACGATTTCGCATTTTTCTAAGACGAGCGTGAGCGGCACGAATGAGAGAGCCACATTTTCAGAACCACCCGCCCTCCATCTTTGAAGCTGTTTCAATTTTCAAGCCTTCAAATCGTACGTAAGTGGTGAGGAAGTCGCAAGCGAAACGCCAAGCCCGCCCTGCCGACGCGTCTGGGGGCGCGACAGGGAGCAGCTACTTAGGAGGAGAACGGATGGAGGAGGAGGAGGAGGGGGGTCAGGATGAGGAGGAACAACAAGAGGAGGAAGAGAGAAGAGGAGTCTGCATGGCTGGTGCCCGGGATCCCCCTCCCCCTCGGGGTGGCCGGCCGATCCAGCAGCCTGCACGTGGTACATGAAGCGGTCGAAGTGGTAGTCGGTGATCTTCCACTGGCGGCAATCTGCTCGCGGATGCGTTCCCTCCAACTCCCCACTCCTCCTTGCGGCTGCTCCTCCTCCCCCCCTTCCCCTCCTCCGCCTCCTCCTTCTTCCTCCTCTCCCCTCCCTCCCTCCCTCCCTCCATCCGTCCATCCCGTCCCTCCCTCCCTAGTTCCATTCATCCCAACTCTTCTCTTCCATATCTTCCTCTTTCCTGTTCTCCTCCTTCTCCTCATTTTTTATCAACAGGTAATGCTGAGGCTGCGGCCCTTCATGCGGTGGACTTGGGCGCCCCATGCGGTGGGCTTGGGCGCCTCATGCGTCGATCCCCCTACGCGGGGCTCCGTGCGCGTTGACCCTTCGTGCTGGGGCTGTTGCCCCCTCATGCGCCGAGATAGCCTGGCGGCAGTGCTGGTGCTTCTGTGTTGCCGGCCGCTGAGACACTCAACTTTTGGTCAGTCTGGCGGCAATGCAGGTTGATTTGCATCATTACTGTAAGCAGAGGTGGATGCCACAAGGTACGTGGAATGCACATACTTTCCACCAACACCATGTGCCAACAGCCGTCCTTGCACCAGGCTCTAGGATTGGAAGGTTTGCCCTACTAACCTTCACGAATATGGTCTCCAAGGATGGGGGATCCTCTGAGCCCCACCCGACTGATCAGGGCATTAGCAGTCCACTACAGTTATGCAGTCATTTCTTCTTCTTATCCTCCTTTTCCTCCTCCTCCTCTTCCTCCTCTCCCTTCCCATGTCGACCACCACCCCAAGAAGAGGAAAAGGACTCTGTTTCATTTTGCTCCCACTCCCCCTACTCCTCCAACTCCTCCGCCGCCCTTGCCTGCTTATCCACTCCTCCTCCAGCTCCTCCAGCTCCTCCTCCTCCTCCTCCTCCTCCTCCAACTCCTCCTCCGCTCTTCTTACTCCTCCACCTCCTCCTCCTCCTCTTCTTCCCAATTCCTCCTCCTCCTCCTCCTCCTCTTCCTCCTATCCCTTCCCCTGCCCCATCTCCTTCGCCTCCTCCTCCTCCTCCCTGTCCACCTCCTCCTTCTCCTCCTCCTCCTCCTCCTCTTCCTCCTCCTCTTCCTCTCCCCTACCCCCCCCCGCATGACGGCGTCACCGTCACTGTCGCTGTCGCCCGAGTCGGTGGCTCTGACTAGGGGGTGAAGGCCTCAGTGGCACTGCCGAAACGCGCCCAGAGTCCAGGAAGGCATGACGGTGCAAACCCGACTTGTCTGGCTGATGCTCTGGGGGGGCCTGTGCTCAGGGCAGGCTGCAGCACCGCTCAACGCTGTGCTGTTTAACCGAACCTGCAGGATGGGCCCTTTCCCTAATCCGTGCTTCGGTGCGGATCGTCTGCGCGCCTTGTCTTCGTCGTCGTTGTCGGCGTCGTCGTGGTCGTGGTGCGTGTTGCTCTGCTCGGGACTTGCATCCCTTATGCAGTGATGACCACCCACCCACCCACCCCCGCCGCATTAGCCGAGGGCTCGCGGAGCACCTCGGGATAGCCGCGGGGCCACTAAATGGTCGGTGCCGCCTGCATCGGCGGGGTAGAAGTAGAGCCGTGGACCCAGCCGCAGGAATGGATGATGATGGTGGGGGGGGGGGGCCTGCGCGCCCTGCTGCTGTCACTTCTCGGTGAACTGGGCAGCTTCTCGACGAAGTGGGCCACTCCGCAACGGCGCAGAACGATCGGCGGCGGCGGGACTTCTCAGAAGCCCTCTGGCCTTCTGAGAAGTTTGCTGTGTCTCTGGGGAAGGCTCAGAAACTTTTCCGAAGGCTGGAGGACTTCTGAGCCTTCTGAGAAGGCCCGCGCCTTCTCACTTCCCCCCCAAGCTCGCCGCCGAGCTTTCTCTGCCACTCGGGCTTCCATCCTCCGCCTCCGCCTCCGCCTCCGCCTCCGCCTCCTCGTCGTCGTGGTTGTCGCCATCGCCGTCGTCGTTGTCGTGATCCTCCTCCTCCTCCTCCTCCTCCTCCTCCTCCTCCTCCTCCTCCTCCTCCTCCTCCTCCTCCGGCGCGCCGCCGAGCCCAGCCTCGCCGCCGCGCGAGGCGGGGGGAGGGGCGTCCTTCTGGTGCAGGCGCGGCATCTCGGCGAGCCGCCTGATGGGCATGGGGCCCCGGCTGGCCTGCCGGCGGACGGGCGGTCGGACGGGCGGACGGACGGGCGGACGACGACGGTTCACGACGTTCATGACGACGTTCACGACGACGACGTTCACAACGAGGGCGCCGGCGAAAGTGAAGGAGGGGGCGAGGGAGGGCAGCGACGGCGAGGAGACGAGGGCGGCGGACGAGGAGGACGAAACGGCCAGGCGGAGGAGGAGGACGACGACGGCGAGATGAAGACGACGCGGGCGATTTCGACGAGGAAGATGGCCTCGGGCCCCTGGTCCGACGGGGGAAGGAAGACGGGGGGGGAGGAGAGAAGGGAGGAAGAAGAGGGGTCGGAGGGTGGGTGGGGGGGAAAGGGGTAGGAGGAGGAGGAGGAGGAGGAGGAGGAGGAGGAGGAGGAGGAGGAGGAGGAGGAGGAGGAGGAGGAGGAGGAGGAGGAGGAGGAGGAGGAGGAGGAGGAGGAGGAGGAGGAGGAGGAGGAGGAGGAGGAGGAGGAGGAGGAGGAGGAGGAGGAGGAGGAGGAGGAGGAGGAGGAGGAGGAGGAGGAGGAGGAGGAGGAGGAGGAGGAGGAGGAGGAGGAGGAGGAGGAGGAGGAGGAGGAGGAGGAGGAGGAGGAGGAGGAGGAGGAGGAGGAGGAGGAGGAGGAGGAGGAGGAGGAGGAGGAGGAGGAGGAGGGGGAGGAGGGGAGGAGGAGGAGGAGGAGGAGGAGGAGGAGGAGGAGGAGGAGGAGGAGGAGCGGAGGAGGAGGAGGAGGAGGAGGAGGAATTGGAATTGGAATTGGCCCTTTCGCGATGCGATATCTTCTGAATGCTAAGCTCCAGGCCCAGCATCACAGCTGCGCGCCTGAGGTTTGGTGGGCTTGGGCGGCTTACCAGCCACGGAATTATCGAGATACCCCCTGCGAGAACTACTCACCTCGGAAGTGCACGGTTGGGCGAGCGGCCTTCTAAGCTGCTCGCGACCATAGAAACCACAGGACCCACAAATCCAGGTGTCGGAGAGGGAGGAGAAGAGGACGGAATGGGTGGGGTGGATCCAACCTCCCCCCAGGTGAACTCTAAACCCCCTCGGCAGACGAGAAATATGAGAATCAACGTGCTTTAAACAAAAACAGGGGGAGGCCCTCCACTCAGTGGGGGTGTCCAGTGACGCGTGCCCCCTGCATCTACTACATCTCCTGCCACACGCTCTGAGCAAATGGCCAGACTGAAAGAAAGCATGAGAGGAAAGGGGGGGAGAGGGAGGCGGGTTGGTTAACACCCCGCTGGCGGTCGTCGTCCTCGCCGCCATCGCCTCGAGCGTCGACCGTATCAGACGTTTCCTGACAAGCGATGCATCAACCTCGGCCCTCAACACTCTCCCACGCGCGACAGGGTCCACTCGGATGAGTTCGGCCCCCGCCCCTGCAAGATTATCGGCAACAGAATCACCAAGCAACAAAGAAGGACTGGTACCAAAATCGAAGAAACTCTCAGCCTCAACGTGAGATGGTACTTGCGGCACCGCAATCTGCGACGGGTCGCGAGGCTGCGAACGAAGCTCATCACGGATAACATCCAGGCGGGCTTGTTGGATCCACGAGGTTCGGAATGAAACCCTTGATACCACCCGTCGGAGACCCCGCTGTTGTCGGTAGTGTGCACCATGGGCCCGCGGGTGTGTCGCACGGCCAGGAGGAGCCCCCAAACTTCGCCGCGAGGAACCGTCTGATGGGGCCCCTGGGGGCCCGCCGCACACCGCGGCTTTCGCGATAACAAGTTCGAAACTTTCAGGAACAACGGCCGAAACTCAACGCCGACGAAGACGAACATCCGAGGAATCAGCCCCGCCGTTGGAGTCGCCGAAGACAACAACGGGGTCGTCGGACCCCCCTGGGCCTAGAACTGGCTCGCTTGAGTCCGACTGACTGTCACTGTAGACCTGCCAGGACTCGTCGCATGCTGCTGGAAGCACCTGGGTCCATGAGCTCGGGATGAGACCTCGAAACCAAAAGCACGGCTCACTGTCCTGGCCCGTCAGGGCCCGAGGGGGGAGGTACTGGGTGTCGGTGTAGATTTGGTGCCCGCTGTTTTTGGTGCATGACCGATGTCTGTGGAGGGGGGGATTCTGGTTCGAGCCCGCACCTTGGACATCTGTTGATGTCGGTCGCGCGGGTCTCCTCGCACATGCGAGACATCGGCCATGTGCCGCCAACATCAATGGTTAGCAGGGTCTCAGCGAGACGACTGCCCCCAAGTACCCGTTCCAAGAGGCGAGTGGCGTGCCTGGGGGAAGTATTATCAGCCCCTCTGCTGGAGGCCCTCTCCGGAAAAAAATGCAAACAGGTGTCGGTCCACATCTTTTTTCCGAATGGCCCCGTCGAAATCTGAAACCAACCCGCTGATATCCTCAGGCTCAATAGTCTCCTCGTCGGGGAAAACCCAAGAGACGCCTGGCCCCATCATCAGCTGGCATGTCTCGCTCCGTGGGCGACTTCGGGTTCCACCCGAACTCGAGCAAATTGGCAACGATCATGGAAATCGGCCCGCGCTGCAGGGCAACTCCAGGCAAGGCTGCGCGAACTGGGGCACGCGTGCTAGTCGGCTCCTGCAGCCATGTGTGGAGCCAAAGCCGAAGAGCCTCGCGCGGTAGCCGATAAGCTGGGTCGCGCCCGTCAGCGCGGATACCGAGTGATGTCGCGAGGCACCTCCCGCGTTTAGCCGAAGATAGTGCATGCCCAAGACGTCTCCTGCACTGCAAACGAAAAGTGCCAAGCGCGCCCCTGATCTGGTGCCCGTGGGCCCCTGCACCCTGTGAGGCCGCGCGTTCAATGGGCCCCATGCTCGCGTGCTTCTTGGAGGCCCGTGCAAATCCCTTAACCTTGGTGCTCATGCGCTTCGCCTTGGAAGCCCTTTTGACTCTGGTGGCTCTTGCGAGCCGTCCAGCCCCAAGGTCGTTCCCGATGTGCGTAGCTTGCAGCCCAGTCTGAACCTCGAAACCCTTCTGCTTGAGGCGTCTGGCGACATGTCGCCCATCGGCGGCGTGCGAGCACAAGATAACACTCTTACTCGCAACTTGAAGACCGCGCTCAGCCAGCGTGCGACACGTGGCGAGGGTCCCTTCATACAACCTAGCTCTGGCCAAGGCCCTAGTGCCAGCCGTGTGCTCGGTCCAGTCGTCGGCCCAAATGCGACGCGACGTGCGCGGGTGAGTCTCAGTCAGCTTCCGAAGGATAAAGAAAACAAGACATCTCCCAAATCTGGTCCCGCTCCGGAGGCCCTGGGCGATGCTCCGCGCCGGTTGGAACGCAAGCGAACGGGGCCCCATCTGAGACAGGGTGCGAGGAGCGCAGCGCATCTGAAGTTCTAACGCCAAGACAACAGGTGGGAAGCCTAGCTTCAGAGCGGATCTGGCGAGGGCGCCCCAATCCATAGCATCGTGGAACCCTTTGATGTCAAGGGGGCCCTCGCCATGAGAAGTGCCGAGCCGTGGAAGCCCTTCGCCGCGAAGGGCGCGCCAAAAAGCTTCGCGGAGTGCGGAATTGCCCGCCGCCGCCGCGCCCCAGTCGGGCTGGGCGCCCTGCGTCCAGGCGCGAGTGACTTCGTCTCGGGCGAGAGACCAGGTTCTAGAAAACATGGACATGAAGCCTATGACACGGTCTCCCCCGTCTTTCTTCCCCGAGAGACGCCCCGGAACCAGGGGGATTCGTCGAGGCCGCGTCAAGCAGGCTTCACAGTCCTTTGGAGCCCTTCCCTGGGGAGCCGTTCCATGTCGAGAGGGGTGAGTTCGTCGACCCCGCGTCCTGCTTTGGCCTTCGCGCGGCGCAACAGGTCCTGCAGAGCGGGCAAAGAAATCGCCGAGGGGCTCCGCATCCTGTGCCGGCGCTGGGCCTTGTGGTCGACCATGTCAATAGGGTGGTAGAGGATCTTCCCTTGGGTGCGGATTTCGTCGGGGACATGGGGGGGCCTTCTTAAGGGCCTTCTGGGGGATCCCCGAAGCCCCGGGAGCCATCGCCCTCTCTTTGAACTGCTTTAAAGACCTCGACGCGGCGCGACGACGAGACCTGGCAGCTGCCCTCCTGGCAGCAATCGTCGGAGAGGTCTGCTAGTCTGAGTGGCTTGGCCTGCCGGTCCGTCCATCCTGACTGCTGCCCACTTGCCTGCGCCGAGGTGTCGACGAGCGGAATGCGTGCAGCGTCTGGCTGATCACTGGCCAGAGCCGCGGCAGAAGCAACAATATGGGCCTGTTGAACACGTCCGGCGTTGCCGATGTCTAGATAACTTGTATAATATAGTATGTATGCGTCCCCTCCAAAACGCCGCCCGATCGTGGAGAGGTTGATCTCGACCCTTCTCTGATGCTTTCATCTCGACAACCTGAAAGAATGACCCCTGCCCCCGAGTAGTGAGCCCTCCCAGGGCTTTCCCGTGGTGCTTAAGAATAGCAGTCTCAACCGTAGACACCCAAGTAGCAGGCATAGCCCCAAGACGTAACAGTTGAGCACCCCCAACGTGGAACGCTGCAGACTCACGTATCACAGGCCAGGCCTGCTCGGAAGTGTGCTTATTGGTGAATCCGACGCTGCGCCGACAGGAGTGCCACAGGTCAGAAGGCAGGTAGAAGGGAGGACGGTCATTACCTACGTCTGCCGAGGGTGGGTTCGGGGGTTCAGGGGATCCAGAAAATTGTTGGTCGTCGACATAGCTAGCTCGAGGTGCGTTGTCCGCCCCCAGGGCCTCTTTGGGCCGTGGTTGACTAGGGGCACCGTCGGCGTCGGCCTTCTGTTCATCTAAAACCTCGGAAAAAAAGCACGGGCGTCGGCGAATTCGCAATCGAACTCTCCGTCCGACTCTCCGTTCCAAAAGGACAGCGGGGCTTTCGTTGGCTCGTCGAGATCCCCGAGCATACTCTAAGGGGCTTCAACGATTTTTTCCTTGGCAAGACTCTGCTTCGCACGACGCTCTGCCTTAGCTCTGCTGGACTTCGAGCCTGGCGTCGGCGTTGCTGTTGGCCTAGGTGTCTGCGGCAAACCCGCAGGCACCACCAGCTCACGACAAAGCAGCTGCGCACATGAGCTTTTCAAACGCAAAGAAATGCCGCAATGAGGTTGCCACGGCACGGCAAAAATTGACTTGACATGAACAAGGTACTGTATGCAGGAAGGCCCCGCAATCGCATAGTCCAGCATGCCTCCACGACCAGACTCACATGTGTGTGAAACTCCTTCTGGTGTGAAAATGGCGCCACCGATCTTGTCGAGAAATCCTGAAGCAACGAGAGCCTCTGGTCGAATACTGTAATCGCCAGCGATGAACCAAGGTAACTGTAGCTGAAAGACGAAGGCCCCCAGCTTGGCGAATCTCCCCAAGTTTCTGCCCGAGAAACCGTCAAAACAGAATCCATAGAAAGCGATCGCCATGACAGAGAACCCACGTTGATGCATAATGGTGGCTGCGAAACCGTCCACTGCGCCTGAGTCGTCCGAAGCCAACTCACGCATGGCGGCGTCCTCTGTCCCCGTAGACTGCACCTGTAAATGTTGTCTGGATAACCACCATTCACCACCTTCAGTCGCCCTGTCACGAGCAACGTCGCTTTGAGTTTTGTGTGATGGACTGGCAGCATTGATCTGGACATTGAGCTTGGCTTTCTGACCCTCATATGCCTCCAATAGGTCCTGTCCGTGTTTGAATGTACATGTGTCTCGACTATAGCAACATGATGGTACATCCGACGCTCGTCTCCAGTCAAAAACGTCCAAACCTTTTTCCCCATGGCCGTGACGCAGCCGAAGCAAATTTCGGTATACTCGTCACTCTGATCGAGTGACTCCAACCCCTTAGCACTGTCCGAAGAAGAGCCTACGTCCGCAGCGCAGCCAGACGCAGCCCTGTACACTCGTCACTTCTTCTTGACCGCCTCGCTGGCGGCCTTGGCAGCCTCAACCTTGGCGGCGGTGAGCTTGGCGGCAGCTTCCTTGATACGCTGCAGGCGGAAGAGGAGGCGGAGGAGGAGGCGGAGGAGGCGGAGAAGGAGGCGGAAAAGGAGGCGGAGGCGGCGTCGGAGGATGAGGTGCAGCAGGGATGACATCTCGGGGCGTGCCACCCATTGATCCTCGCTGCTGGGGCCCTCCCGGGGCCCTCCTAGGTCGCTCCTGGGGTCTTCTTGGGCCGCGCACGGGTGATCTTCCATCTCCAAGCTTGGCTCGCCCAGAACACTCTTCCCCGGGACCTCCTGGGGTGGCCGCCACGCGCGCGCACACTGGATATAATTGACACAAACAATGAAAATCTCGCGACAGAGGTGTCAGGACGCCTTGGGCCAGCCAACTCGTCTGCGTAACTGCATTACGATGCTGGCGAATGGACCCTAAGCGATGTTCAGTGGGGCCAGACAAGAGCAGCTACAGCGACATCCGTTATGCCCAGGCAGGGCTGTATCTATGAACTGCGCATCCAGGCGCACCAGGGCAGGGGCCAGTCGTCGTCATCGTCGTCGTCGTCGTCGTCGTGGTCGTCGTTAAGTGGGCGTCATGCCATCGCCGTCGTCGTCGTCGTCGTCGTCGTCGTCGTTTACAACATCGTCGCTGCTAACGGCGTCATCGTCGTAAGCTAGCGTTTTTTTAACCTCGATAAAGCACCACCGTGAAGCAAAGCACCATCGTGAAGCAGTTCTGAGAGTATTGCCATTGCTGTCATCGTCGTAAGCCAGCGGGGGCTAGCCCCAAGAGCTGAGACTCCTGGCGCAAACCCAGACAAAGGTTCGTGGCACTGGCTGGGTGGGGACAGCGGCGGGGGGCTGCTCCCGAATTCCGCAGTGCCTGGCAAACCAGGGCGGGAACTTTGGCAACGACCACTGGGGGCTACTGGCGCCATAACGGCCAACGGGGCATGGCAGAAGCAACGAAGGGCCAGTACGGGTTCTTGGCGGTAGCGGATTCGCGCCACAATGAATCTCGTGAGAATTGGCAAAATGCTGGCAGAGGCTACCACCAGCCAGGACGTTCCATAACGGATGGGCACCCGTAGGGACTATTGTCTGGATGGGGACGGGGCAAGTTTCAGGTCCACTGACAGCAAGTATGGGCAAGGGAAAGGAGCAATCACTGCACCACAGCGGGTTGGTGGGGCTCAGCACAGGGCTAGCAAGATCAAGCAAAGGTTATTGGCGGGAACGAGCATTGTCGCCAGAGGGGTGGGTGGGGATGAAGGTAGCCACTATTCGGTACAGCCCTTAAGCACTTCGTGCTTCATGGAACCTCCTCGGGACCCAGCTAGCGTTCGAGACGGCTCAAGGGACCTTAAATTCTGCACAACGTTGCAAGTCGTGCCCCATGGACCCCGAAGGCCCTCAGCTGTCTCCCAACACCACCCGATCACCCAAGCAACGCCAAGATGGCCCTAAAGAACATTAGCAACGGTTGGCACCCAACACAGTCACTGATTACGAGATCAGGGTGCAAATTTCCCTCTGGGATCCCGTCGCGACTCCAACTCTGCGGGGCTCAGCCTGAAGTTGTTTCAATGCAGGGGCAAGAGGGACAGCTCTACTGCCCAGCGTGCTGCTGTCACGGCCTCGTGTGTCCCTAACAACATCTCTCGAGTATGCGGCTCGGCGCCCATGCTGTTCTTCGTCAGCGAAAGCTCTGGTCGCCTGCGATGCCCCAGGCCAAGAGACTCGCGAGGGGCACCTGCCAGGGGAGACTGGCCTCCCGTCCGCGGCAGTGGCCCGCAGGCCCCGCAAGATCGCGGCGCGGCCTCGCGGAAGAAGGCCACGAAGCGCTCCCAGAGCGTGTCCTTCTTCGTGCCCTCGAAGAACGACTGGAGCACGTCGCCCGACGCCCCCGTTCCGGTGCGGAGGGCACACGCCAACGGAGCCCCGATCATGCAGGCGAGACTGCCCGACCAGCTTCGTGGTGATGACGACAGCGCCCCATCCTCGGCCTCCCCCATCCCTAAGGGCTTGACACGACTCTTCTCCAATCGGCCTGCGGGGATCAAGCTAGATGAATCGAGGTACCTCGAGGGACGTCCAGAGAAATATAGGTAAATCCAAAGCTGCCCAGGTAAGCCTGGCACAGATCGCGGAAGCTCCAGCGCGAGCCGAGGGACGGCAGAAATCGTTCAGCCTCTCGCGACCCCGGATCCCCCGGCTGGCTTCCCAGCCTCTGCAGATGTATGGTGGACACCCGCTCAAAAGGAGCCGTCGATGAACCTTTGCGGGCTTGCGAGGGCCCCTGGGCCTCCAAACCACTCCCCAGATGACCCCGATGGCTGCGTGGGCCTCCTTGAGGATCCACACACGGCCCAACCAACCCCACAGACCGCCCCAACCCGCCGAGACCGCCTCAGTATGGCCCCACGGTGTCCCCTGGTAGGCCCTGTGATCGATGGTTCCAAGATGGGGTCCTGAGGGATGGGGGCCTGAGGATAGGAAGGGATCCAAGTGTAGATTTACGCTGTTTGAGGCACCTCGTCCTCAGGACCCCATCTTTGACCCGCTGATGACATGGCTTAGGGCAAAGCCTCCCGACAGGTTCGACTTTTGTTCTGGCAGCGTACGATCCAAATGGCTCAATGGGGCTTCGAAGAATGCCCACAAGGCTCCCAAGAGCTTCCAAGATGACCCGAATCTGGCCGTCAAGATGGCTCTCCAAGACGACCCAAGACCGCTTCAAGATGGCCCACATATCCTCCAGATGCCCCCCTAGATCTTCCAAAAAAGCTCCGAGAGGCCCCAAGGGACCCAAAGACAACCCCCTGAGACCCTCCGAGGGTCTCAAGCCCGTGGCGGGGCAAGCCAATGATGTCGCGACGCCTCGAGGTAAGAATGCGGTCGACCTACCTGCATGTTTTTTTTTGCTACCTGAGCCATGGAAATGTGCGTCATCCTTTGTTCGTCGTTCTTCCATCTCCGTCGATCCACCCGGCTGAAAGATTCGCGGATCGCCCGTTCGCCTTCCTGCACGTTTGTTGGTGCGTGCCTCTATTTGCGCATAGCCGTGCTTCGCCTCACGCGGCTCCGTGGATTCAGTCCATTGGGTCGCACTGGCATGTGCATATTGCATACATGTAAATATGTATATTTACAAACGCATAGCACACACATACTTTGTATGTACATAGATGCGCCCACGTATACCCGATGTGCCGTACCATAGAAAGTCGCGAGAGCTGGCCAAGATCGGAGGAGACCCGCGGCAGGCGGCGGAGCGCGAGAGCCGCAAAAACGGGCGACGCTGACCAGCGGGGATCCGTGGTGACCGAGTCGCAGACTTTTCGGCACGTCGGGTGCTCGACGGGGTCCTGTGGGGAGCCAGTACAGTCGAGGCGTTGACCTAAGGAACCCTAAATAAGGAACGAGGCCCCTTTTTTCCATAAGTTGAGCTTCGATTTCGTATCGAAAACCTAAGGGAAATCCAGGGCAAGCTGCGAAACAATTAAGGAACGCGGAACCCCTCCCCAACGAAAAGGGTTCCTTCTTCAGGGCCCCGACTGTAGGGATCTGGCCCAAAAGGGGGCTTCATCGGACCGGGATTGACGACACGTCGCCGGCAGATGGCACGGGCTGGCGACACCGGGCGTGCGCCTGGGCAGTGGGACGCGACCAGGCCCTGATCGGCGATGAACGGGCGAGTGGGCATCGATGCCCCCGCCGTGACCCCCCCTCGGCAAGAAGACGATCACTACTATAAGCATGCCTTTTGGGAGACCCGCGCAAATGTCTCGGGTCGGCGTCGGACCCCCCTCCGGGGCGCACGGGGCGCGCCAGGGACGGCGTCGGAGACGCCGCCAAGGGGACCCAACGCCGATCCGAGAAATCCGCGCGGCCCCTGAGGCAGGAGAGCCCAGAATCGAATCGATCAGTCAGATCGGCGGTCGAAAAGAATCCGGATCGGCGGGAATCGGCAGCCAAGTCGGGAGAAATCGAATCGGCGGGAGTCGGCAGGCTGTCCAGGCCTGCAGTTGAGACGCCGAAGCGAACATTGGAATCCGAAGTCGAATCGGAATCGGAGCCGATTGGAATCGCAGAGAATCGAGTCGGAGGAATCGAAATATGGTCTGTGAGGTCGGGTGCTGCTGGGGGGCGGCACGGCGGCGACCTCCTCTGGGGGATCCTCTTTGGCCCGGCCGACCAGCATCTTCGCAACGGATGCTGGCAGCCCTTCGGGCGCCTGGCGCCGCTGGCGCGCTCCAGCGGGCAGGGAAGTGATGGGGGAGGATGCGATAGGTTCGTGTCGTGCGGACCCCGGCGTTGGTTCCTGACACCGCGGGGATCGTTCAACCTTGAACGATCGGCCGATTCCGGAGCGTCCGATCTTTCGACGTCGACTGACTTTGGGTCGCCAGCGGCGTTCAACCTTGAATGCCTACGGCGGGGTCGCGGCCGGTCGACACGACGCGAACCTTATTACTAATTACCCTGCTCGGGGAACGGACGAACGAACGAACGAACGACCACCGGTGCGGACAGCAGTCTGGGCCTACTGGAGACCAGGTGAACGAAGCCGTGGCCTCTGAAATACTATTGTGTATTAAAATGCTGGAGGGAGGGGAGGGAGGGAGAGGGAGAGGATGAAGGGCGGGGAGGCGAGGGGAGGGAGATGCTCAGGGAGAGAGAAAGAGAGGGAGGGATGGGGGAGAGGGGAGAGAAGCACTGCGACGCCCCAGCCAGCTCTCGAAGCTCGAGCCCGAGGGCGCTGCGGCGCGCGAGCGCTCCGCTGGAGGCTGCGGGGCCGGGGGCCCAGCCGTGCGTCAGCTCCACCCCGCGCGCGGCCAAGGCTCGAGGGCGGGGCTCTGGCGGCGGTCGCCTCGGAGCACGGCGGGGACGTCAGCGTGAAAGCTGCCCAGTCGCGCCCCTGGCGTGCCTGGGCGCGCAGGCCCCAGCTCGCGTTAGAGTAGGGGGCGTTGACCTAAGGAACCCTAAATAAGGAACGGGGCCCCTTTCCCCCATAAGTTGAACTTCGATTGTCCATGGGAAACCTCAGGAAAACCCGAGGATCACTGTGAAACAAGTTGAGGAACACGGAGCCCCTCCCGAACGAAAAGGGTCCCTTCCTCAGGGCCCCGGCTGTACGCTGCGGCAGGTGCGTGCGGGCAAGATCCTCGCCCGCCGCGCATCCCAAAAGGAACATCTTGCGCACCTCTGGAGCCGGCGACTCTGTCTTCCCCACCACTTCCCATACTTTCCCATATTTTCTGGGGAATCGACGATTAATTGTGTCTGTGTGTTTCTTTCCCTCCTGAGCTGCAGGTGCGTGCGGGCAAGATCCTCGCCCGCCGCGCATCCCAAAGAGGAACATCTTGCGCACCTCTGGAGCCGGCGGCTCGCGGCCCAGCCGTTCCATCGATGGCCTGCCGCAAGCGGCGGGCACCCGCGGGGGGCACAGCTGGGAGACCGCAGGGTAATTACGCGGACAGAGTTTTTTTTTTTTTTTTTTTTTTTTTTTTTTTTTTTTTTTTTTTTTTTTTTTTTTTTTTTTTTTTTTTTTTTTTTATTTTGTTTTTTTTTGGGCGGTCTCTACATGGCGTGCTCTGGGAGGCCGCACCGCCGCGGACCCCCCGATTTCGATATTGAGACTGGGACAACAGACTCGTCTTTTTTCGTCAGCGTCGGCAGACCGCGCCGCGCGCGCGGGGAACCTGCTCTCGACTTCGCGGAAAGATGCGTGCCCCACCCTCCTGCAGTAGTTCTCCAGGCGGACCGCTATGTCGCTGGTCATGGAAAACCTGAACCTAAAAATGCTGCCTTCCGCCGGCCTTCCGCCAACCTCCGCCTGCGGAGCCGCCGCCGTGTTTACTTCCGCGGGCTACCGCCGCTCTTCCGCCGAGGAAGAGATGCCAACATCTCCTCTCGACCCCTCGAATGCGAGGCCCCATCTCCGGATCGCCCCCTTCTGTGAGGGCCCTTGGGCACGAAGCCGGGTGCAGACGCCCACTGTGTGCAAAGGCTACAGCGCCCAGCTCCGTGGGCTCTGCGTGAGCACCTTCCTGGCGCCCAATCGGCTCTCTGGACGCGTTCGCGAGCGCCCTCGCTGCGAACCAGAGCCCAGACCCCCGACGTCTTGATTCTTTCTTGGCGGCGCGCACCAGGGGGTAGGGGAGGGGGGAAGGCTTCTTAGAAGGAGGCTGCTTCTTAGACGGCGCCGGCCTTGCATCTACAAAGAAGGCCCGCGCCTCCTGAGAAGCAGGGGTGCTTCTAAGAAGCCTTCCCCCCTCCCCCTACCCCCTTCTGCGCGTGGCCAGCTTTCATGACGTCGACCCCCAGAAGCCTGGACCGTTTCCCCGGGACCGGTTTCTCATCCCGATAGTCGTTTCTTGACGGCCCCGAGGCCGGGGACGGGCCCTCTGGAGGCCGAAGATAGCGGAGAACCCCCCGCCGTGATGTTCTCGCAGCGCGGGGAGGTCTGGGAGCGCAGCCGGCGCCTCCCCGAGGCCACGACCCGCCCCCAGGACTCGGGGGCGGCCAAGAGGGGGGCGTCCAGGAGGGGGGGGGGCGCAACTCGTGGCCGGCGGCGTGTGCGCGGCCCGGGGGGGTGGGGCCGTGGACGAATCGAGAGGAGAGGGGGCGCCATGAAATCTGCGAGGATCTCATGGCCCCCGCCATGCTGCCCCCCCCCCCCCCCCGGTCCCCCCCCCCCTCCTGGCCGCCCCCGCCGAGGCCTCCACGAGCCGTGCCGCCGCAGCCGCCGGCCCGCCCGGGCGGGGCCCTCGCCCACGTCGGGCCCCGGCCCGAGGGGCGGCGGCGCGGCTGGGCGGCGGCGGGCGCGCGCGGGCCCCGCCTCTCTCTGCCCCTTCCCTCCCTCTCTGCCAACTCCCAGGAGTCCCGACCTTTTCCCACATGTCCTGGGCCTTCGTCCTCCCCCCCCCCACTTCCCAATCTCTCCCCATCTCCTCCCGGGAGCCGGCGGTTGTGATGGTGTCTCCGTGGCTTCTCCCTGCCTGCTCTCTGCTGCTCCCCCCTGCTGAGCTGCCCCACCCCTCGTGGGACGGGGCCAAGGCGAGGATAACATCGGCTGGGGATACAGCGAGAATCTCTGAGATCCTGCGGCTCTGGAGGTTTCGGTGTGACCCAAACATGAGATCCAGCTGAGAAGGGGTGGTGCACCAGACTTGGGGCAATTGTATTGCAAATGTACTGCGCTGGAGAGTTGCATTGCGTTGTATTGCAGGTAATGTATTGCACGCGAAGATCCAACAATACATTTGGGGCCCGGAATGTAGTGCAAGCCCCAGATGTATTGCACATCCACAAATCTATTGCATCCCCCCCTTGTCGCTGGAAGCCCTTTTGGGTCAACCCGAAGGATGTCTCGGGCGCCGCCGCCTTCTCAGAGCGTTCCGGAACGCTCTTACAGCGTCCCAGAACACTCTGGAACTGATTTGTCCTCGTCCTAGCTCCGCCCGGCGTCTCCGCCGTCGTCATCGCCGCCGCGACGCCCGCGCATTCATGTTATTACCAGTGGCGGCTCGCGCGCGACCGCGCGCGCCACTGCGCTGGGCACTTCCGCTCGTCCGACGGGGGCCCAGGCGGACATCATTTTTTGTTTTCCGCCCGCAACTCGTCTAAAGTAACAGCGGGCAGAATACGCCTCTGATCTGCTGCCCCCCTTGCCTCCCTGCTGATCCCCCTCCTTCCCTTTCGGCAGGGCGGGACATCGGGGTCCCGAGGGAGACGGGCCCTGGGCCACTGGGGCCCTACCCCAGGGCCCGCCCCTTCCTCCCGAGCCGTCTTCTGAGCACCCCGGGGCCCTGAGAACGGGCCCCCGGGGAACCCAAAGCGGCGAAGGACCTCGGGGCCCGCTTCCCTCCGAACCCGCCTCAATCACAGCGATCCCACGGATCCGACGTCACGAACGAATCGCGACATCGCGAAAAATCACGACCAGAGCCCTGGACCCCATCTCCCCGCTGCATGTCTCGAGCTGGACCGATCGCTGATGACCCCAGGGCCCGAAAACAGGCAAAAACGCCTGACGTGAAAAAATTGCAGCGCCCAGATCTCAGGGAACCCAGCACCCAAGCTTTCAACCTGGCCAAAATTGGCTGGGGCAAATGCTGTTCTCCTGCTTCTGCTTCCGCTCCTGCTCCGGCTCCAGTTCCGGCTCCTGCTCCAGTTCTGGCTCCAGCTCCGGCTCCTGTCTCTGCTCCTCCTGCTTCTCCTTCTCCTCCTCCTCCTCCTGCTCACCTTGCAGTGTTCAGGGGAGTGTTTTATTGTCAGTTGTGTGATAAATATGCTACCTGTGATGCCCAGCAGCTGCTCTCATTGTCGTGGTAGGCCTGACTCCAGAGGGATTGTTCAGCCTTCCGCACAGACTGGGAAGCAGGTATTGTCCCGTCTGTGGAGGGGACTGCCTCCCAAGAGCGGTGGTGTGTCCCCCAGATGAGCGACGAAAAGAAACGTGTCTTACGCACTATGACATGGCGACCTTGCGCCGCGGCTTACGCGGGCCGCCAGCGTGGCACGACACATCGACACATTAGAAACGAGGGCGCTAACTTACGCGCGACCTTGCGCGGCCAGCTTACGCGCCAGTGCTGGTGAAGACGACACCGTCTGTATTGCGTCACTCAGACGTGAATCCGTCTCGTGCTCGGCCTTGGCCTGGTCTCCACGCGTTGCCCAACTCAATTCGAGCTCCTACCGACCCGGGCCAGTGCAAACCCCTGTGTCAGTCAGGCTTTGCAGGATCCTGCAAGATTTGGCGCTCTGGATAGAGGCCTCCTTGATGGGGTCGGAGTAGATTGGATCGGAGGATCGCGCCGCATCGCCGATACATCGGCGATGCATCGGCGATGTATCGGCGAATGCACCAGCGATGCATCGTCGACGCCGGCGATGCATCGGCGATGTCGACGTGAAGCACATCGGGCTCCACATCGAGCCGCATCGCCGATGCGTCGGCGATGCGGCGCCGTCCTCCGACCCCGTCTGCTCGGACCCCATTCGGCGGTGGACAAACCTCCCTTTAGTAAACCGCCCTTTCGTGAAAACGGCCTATAGGACCGAAGCCGACGCACCCGGACCCGCACCAGTGACGGCCGCGACACCCCCCCGCGGACCGAAAACGGCCGGCTCACGAATCGACGTGTCAGGGTGGGGGTCCTGTCCACCCCCGACCCATCTGGGAGGCCAGGGACA